TAGGTGATAAAACCGTGAGCCTATATGATTATGTGATATATGTTACATGATATGACATGTGAGTTTACATGAAAAAAATGAGAAATGGTATAAGCCATATGAAACGATCTATGTGAATACATGCACTTGTGATACATGTGATATGATATGAGATATATGGTTACGCATACATGTGGTATTTGACAGAAGAGAAAGAACAAGTGATATGAAATTCCAGGAAAATGTGATATAACATAGTGATAAGAAGCCATGAGCTTATATGATGTTGTGATATGAATGTGAAAAATGATATGTGAAATGTCATAAATAATATTGCCCATGTTATGTAATATGAGAGCTAGTGGTATAGTTGCCATGCCAAGAGTCGAGGGTTTACCTATGTTCTACGGAACATATGGACAAAATTATCTATGTCTTTCGGGACATATGGACAATATACCTATGTTCTAAGGAATATATGTACAATTTACCTAGGTTCTTCGGGACTTATGGACAATTGTCGAGGTTCTTTATGACATCTGGATAGGTCATTCGGGATATTTATATGAGCTGTGGTGACAGTATAGTGGTGCACAACCTCAATGTACTCACATACCTTAAGTTCTCAAAAGTATACATGGGCTAATACATGGGATTTTAAGAGAGTAAATAAATCAATTGATGTGATACTATGTGTGTTTTGTTATGAAATGATGTATATGCTTATATGATAAAAAGAAATTAGTGATAGTAATATAAGTACCGATAAGCATGTTAATGATATATGTATATGTGTAAATTGATTATATGAAAAGATACACGATATACAAAAATGGTAAATACAAGATCACATGACAAATGGGTTAATGATTATGATAGAGATTATGATAATGATGGTATATGTGTATGTATACATTTTGTTATATGAAATGTTTTATGGTTTCCATTTTATGTTTATATGCCTCACTAAGTCTATGACTTAGCGTGTGATTGTTTCATACGTAGGTTTGGAAAGCGAAAAAGAGAAGTAAAAGTTGTGCAAGACATGTCAGTTTCTCTTTTCCAAAGATCAGATCAGAAAAGAAATGTATAGTATGTATTTTGTAATAATGATAGTGGTTGACATGTAAATAAAGGATTAAATCCGATATGTTCTAATCGGTTTTGAAAAGTCATATGATTGAGTTTTGTAATGTTTTAAATGTGTATATGCAATTGATAAATTTTATACGGATGAAAGCTTAGATTTTTTACGAGTTTATAGTAGTTTTACGGAAATATAGTAGCGGTACTGTAGCAGGGTAATCGGTTCCTCTCTGACAATCTAGAAAATTTTAACATTTAGTACTGTTATTTTGTAAGAATATCGTTTGTAAAATTTTATAAGAATATCGTTTGTACCTCAAAATTTTATAACAAACACAATTGAACAATAAATGAACATATTTTCTTAATATAAGTTCAAATGTTATGATATTTTGTAAGAATATCGTTTGTAAAATTTAATGTGACATCTCAGACTCGTATCCGGGTCGGGTACGGGTTGGGGTGTTACAAAATTAGAGTGGATTTTGGACGACCTGACTATTTTAATAAGTTTGGATCTGGTATAATTAGAAGTCAAGTCTAAACCTCATTTGGGTCTTTTTCATTAACTATGGGGTGAAACTCATATTCATATACCTTGAATACTTCTGAAAGTTGGTATACAGATCCATATAATGATTATAGTCTTGAAAAGAAAATGAGCAAGTTGCTATGACATGGGAGCATGAACACTTCAAAACTTGAAAAAACCCACAATCACATCATTTGTCTCGTAGATTAACTCTGAAAGAGTTAGATTCAATCTCTTACAGAGGTCGTGGCATTTCTGTGACCCGAAATAATTCTTGAATACGAGAAAAGCTTATTACGGACATGTTGTTTGATGCCGCAACCTTTTGCTACATATCTGCTACTAATTGTGGGTGATAAACATGATCATTTTGTATCCAAGTAAGAGTTTTTCCCCCAAGCTTGGCAAAAAGTTGACCCAAACAAAAATACATCGTTTTAGCCAAAACAATTACTGGTAAATGACGACCCCCTTTAAAGTTGAATTGATTGCCTCAACCATGTTGGTTGTCATATGTCCATATCGATATCCACCATCTTATGCGTTTGTCCACTTTTCTTTGTTGATTTCACTGATGTAATTATATCCATGTTTATTTTTTCCTCGCAATTCTTGAAGCATAACCTCAAACGTTTGAGGTGAGAGTTCGTAACCTAAGCGAAATGAAGTAGTTAGTATAAAAAAAATGATTATGGGTGAGAAATGACATTGGGAAAAATGTAACATACCTATGCGTATAATTATTTGTCGTTTATTATTCAACTTATATCTTCCATGATAGTTTGTAGCAATATGTCAGATACAGAGACGATGTTGGACGCGTGGAGGTTTCCACATTGTACCCAAAGAATCCTTTGCTGCTTTGATTCCAACTCCTTGGTCTAGAATGATACAAATATGTTCCCTCATGATAACATGTAACTGCAGATTTCTCAGGAAAAAAACCCAAGACTTCGTATCTTCTCCTTCAACAAGGGAAAAGACAACAAGAAGAATGTTACGATTACCATCTTAGACAACTACCAATAATAAAACTTGCTTGTATTTTTCATACAAAAATGTACTATCAATTTGGACAACGTGTTTACAGTATTTCACTGCATTAATACATTGTGGGTAAGTCCAAAAAACACGGTGGAATTGGCATCGATCTCGAAGAACTCGATCATTATGGTAGGCATGTTGAGTTTTAAACTCAACCATTGTCCCAAGATTCAGTCGTTGAACCAGGTTAAACCAATTGAGTAATTCGTTGTAAGATGAATCCCATTTGCCGTGTAGTTTTAAAATGACATTCTGTTTTACCTTCCATGTTTTTTTGTAGGAGATGGTGTACCCATATTGAGATGGTGTACCCATGTTTTATAATGACAAATCACGTTGGAGTCCAAGTTTGAATGATCCTAGTTGATCCCCTGTACACAAAATGTATGTGGACCGGTGTATTTTGTTAGTTCTTATATACCTGTCTTTTTCCTCTTTGAAACATGAACCATCCTGTTGCAACCGTTATCACGTTGGACACAATAACAAACATACTTTTCGGTGGTAGATCGATCGACTCTGGACTAAAAAAATTACGAATATTGAAATTCTTAATTTCCATCATCGCTTCTTCTTTAGATGTGAACTTCATTCCATGATATAAATCACCATCATTAACTGATGAATGCCTCCCATAGTCTCTAAAATAAGGCATATCAGGAAATTATGGCCCGTACGTCGTATCATTGTCAGCTTCATACATGTGTGATGGAGGTCCGTATTGTACCATATTTGTAGGAACTTCATTCACATCATCGTTAGAGTCTATGTTGAATTGTGGTGACTTGGGTTCAAGGAATAATCCAGTTTCAACACCACCTGATTCTGACTCACGAAGAGGTTCTTCTAGAGGAGATGAGGGTTCTTCTGTGACTTTGATGTTTAGTTCGAACAAGTTTACAGATGAATGCCTTCCTCTGTAGCTTGAAGGGATGTCACCATATGGGTTATAATTTGAGTGTTGTATGGAAGAAATTGACATATCAAGGTCAAATGTGATGGCAAATGAATGTCTCCCCTGGAACTGGAAGGCATCTACATATTGAGGTGGAAAAAAGTGGCAGATGAATGCCTTCCCTAGGAACTTGATGATATACTGACAGGAGGTGGGTTAGTCATTAATGACGTGAAATCATTACAGATTGTTTAAGTTGGACTGTCACCTTAATCAACTGGTTTATGCAAGCCATAGTGGGAGGATAAGGACATACCCCGAACTGGATGTACGCCAATAAAAATGGCATACATTTCTGTGATAGAATTCAGATTTTGACTGGAAGCATAAACCATTATAGTAACATCATCGTCGTTTGAGAGATTGAACGATGTATATGTTAAAGAAAAATTTTCAGTCAGAAATTTGTACTGCAGTGTAGCCATTCTTCTATTGTTTCCAACACGAGTCTTCCTTGAGAATTTTGTGATTAAATCACAAATAGTGATGGTTTTCCTAAATGAAAGAAGAATATAATGATCTAATCGAAAAATAACCTCGTATTCATCTTCCCCAATTTCTTTATCCTAGTAAACAACAACTGAATAAGAGCCATTTTCTTAGTTTGAGAGTTTTAAAGTTTGAAAGTTTACACGTTTGAGAGTTTGAGATTTCAAAGATATAGAGTTTTAGGATTGAAGAGTTTAAGAGATTGAGAGTCGGAGAACAATTCATGTCAATTATTTATGTTATCGAGCAACCATTGGCTTGCAATGAACCAGTTATGGAATTACTATAGTAAAAAGTAACTTCTAACTATTATGTGAATTGTGATTTATACATCAACTTTAGCCCTGATCCGAATCGAGCCTCAATAACCCAAGATAATAGCAGTTGCGTCATACTCAACAAAAATATTAATAAAATTCTCGAATTGTTTTATCATTTGCTCTGAAATAAAACCCACATGAAGATCATTAACGAGCACCCAAAAATCTACTTTCTCCAAAGAAACTATCATCGGATCTTCCCCTTTTGTATACGATGCAAAATTAGAAGGTAAGAGTTGAAATATCAAAGGTCTTCGTATTCCAAACGATCAACATTGATTTGATAAAATTAGAAGGTGAGAGTCAAAATAATACACACATATTATAAATATGATAAAATAAGAATTGTCAAAAAGATTATTTTACTGTATTATTAGATTAACATTGGCCATAAATATTTTTAATTTTAAAAAAAGAGTTAAAACAATATTCATAAAAAATAATTAATGAATTATTTGAGAAGAGACCAGTACTAAGGGCAGGTAGCACTAAGGGTCAGGATCATTGAATGAAGAAACAATTGAGTTGATCCCAGTCGTCCGTTCAAATTCCCAATTTATGTAGAGCGGGAAAAATAATATATCTGCTGTTTTTCATTGCCAAATAACAATGCTAAACCACAACGAAAAAAGAAGAGAAAGAGAACAGAAAATGGCGCCTAGGGTCTCGAAACGAAAGGCGATGGAAGGGGACGAGGAGCAAGCCAAGCCTCAAGTTGTAGAGGCGGTGAAAAGAGTGACTCGAAGCATGACAAGTAAGCCGGTCGCCAAAACTCAACCCAGCAAGGACAGACCAAATGCAAAAGCAAAGGCCAAGGCCAAGGCTAAGACGAAGTCCAGTCCCAAGAGTCGAAAAGAATCAGTGGAGGATGCTGCTCACACAGCCAAAGCTTCGCCTGAGGGTTTGACTGCTGCCGACGGTGGGTCTTGCGACAAGACTGTAGTAATAGAACACTGGTAAGTTTCGCTTCACTGAAGATTAAAATTTAAGGTTTTTTTTTGCGAGAAAAGAAATGAACACGACACGACTAGTTGAGGTTTTAATGTTGCAAATATTTTTATTGTTCTGATGTCCATTTTGGATTTCTCTAGGTTTAGGTTTTTGAAACGGTTGTCAAACTTTTGGCTAACGTTAAATCATCATTGTTCATAGTTTAGTGTTCGTCAAGCAAACCAATATCTGTGACGTCGCTTGTAAACTTCCTGTGACGATGAAAATATAAATGTCAAATAAGAACATAACGTCTTGAAACTAAACTCTAATTTTGTTGTTTCAGTGCTTAATTATGTCCTTTGTAACTAATAACTGCCCCCTGTTTATGGGTCAGACATGAGCCACATGGCTTAACTCCAAACATGGCTGGATCCAAAATTAATAGGTCTAGAATGTCCCCCCTTCAATTTTGTAACAATAAGGAACATGAAATGAAGTAGCAAGTACTTGTGTGAAAAGGGCAGCAAACCCTTTTCCCCTTTTGTTTCGGGTATTTTGAGATAGTTTTATTTTAATGGATGGGGTTGAATAAAATTTGTTTTAAATATTTCCTTCTTTATGCTGCTGCTTCAAATCCTTTGGTTTATGATTCCTTTTCTCTAGCAAGCAATGCAATTCTTTCAAGACAAGGGCCTTTCAAGTCAAATATGGTTTGGAGAAAGGTGTTCCTGGAGTCAAAGTTACGCTCAACCCTGAGAAGGTTTAACCTCATATATCTGGTTTGGAGTGAACACGTCCTCTTTTTTTCCTGAAAAAATAAATCTTTTAATTATGTATTGTCTAAAGGCATTCATGTTGTGTTATTTCAACTCTATTGAAGAATACATTAGAGGGTTCTGTTTAATACCTGTAAAACATGTGCATACATTTGTGCTTTTAGATGCATATGCACCGTGAGGACTTGATTTGTTGATGCTTTTTCTGTTTTACAATTGGTTTTATTAAGAAAAGAAGATGAACTGAGTATACTAGTTTATGTTTGAATTCGAATTTCTTTAATTCCCGTCAGATTCAAAGATCCTTCATATTCAAAATAAAAGACCATTTTAATTGTTGTGTTGAAATCGTATTCATGCATAATGTTTGCAGTTGGAATCTTTTCTAACCACATTTTGAGCTACTATTTTCAATGTTTAATTGTGCTCAACTCCAAACATATTTATGTACATTCGGGGAATGTTGCTTTTAGTTTTTGATCGATTTTATGAGAGTCTAGTTCAATATGTTAAAAGGGGAGAGTTTTGATCGATTTTATGAGAGTCTAGTTCAATATGTTAAAAGGGGAGATGCCTTGATCATGATCTATGTATGGTTTCTTGAGTTTCAGTCTTTGGCTACCAGTGTTTTTATATGTGCTTTTGATTTCTATTTTGGGTATAAAGATTCTTCTGTATTTTTTTTCCTAGAATGTTTTTCTTTTGTTCAGTGCCTGTTTCATGTTTGATCTATCCTCTCATTTGTTTTTCCAAATTTCCAACAGCCAAGAAGAGGATGCTTTGAAATACGAGAGGAAGGCGGAGATACATTCATAAGTCTGCTGGTAAAACTTCATCTTGCAATATTTATGAGCAGCTAATTTATTTTTGTCTCACTTAATGTAGTTGGAGGAATCTTATCTGTGAAAAAATTAGAGTTTTCATATGAATTAGTTTTTGATAAGATGATAAATCAACTTTCTGCGTCATGGTTCTTGACAGAAAATAGATACGATAGCTTGGTTGTTTTCGGTGAAGAGAGATTAATATTTGGTTTGCAGGACATGAAGAGACCATTTAAACCGATGAAGGATCTCTACATGGAGAAGGTGATCTCGGACATCATCGAAAAGATTAAATGAAGAGACCGTTGGTGTATGAAGTTGGGGGCCTGTTGTAATTGTTTTGGCTGATTCACTAACATGTGTTGGTGAAAACAGAACTTCATTTTGTTTAACTTCATCTTAATTTTGTTGACCATTATTGTAATGCTGTCGAGTAAAGAATGATCTTAGACATGGTTACATTTGATATCATTGGCAGGCTGTGCTTGTAGTCGTAGGCCAAGCTACATCGAGTCTGGCTTTTGTTAAATGTGTCAAATTGTGATCTGAATTCTGAACCCACCATTTTCTCTTTCTTCGTCCATGTTTGTGTGGAAGAAGGGTTACATTAGCGTTTGTTATGCCATGTCCCTATTGCCTTTTTCTATTGCTATTGCCATTGCCATTGCCATTGATTTCATTAACTCGTCAATCCAATTGTGATTTTCCCCCCAAAAATTTAAAAAAGTTACTTATGGCTACATTTAGTACGGATTTTTATGAAGGTAACTTTGCATTTATTAGTTATAATTTAATTAAAATATTATTATAAACATTGGTTGCTAAATAATAAACAAAATGATGTTAAAATTAATAATAATTTTAGTTTTAAATTTTTTATGTTTTGTCAGTTTAATTATATCAATTTAGTTTTGCTTTTCCTTCTAGAAATGTTATATTATTTTCATGCTACTTTCTTGGAAAAATAATATTCTAATAATAATTTATTGTTATTTTATTATAAAATTTATTCTTATTGTTGTTTTGATCTGATGAATTTGTTTGGTTTGACAATAGGGTAAAAATATTAAATTGATAGAATTTTTAAATATAAAAATTCTAAATTTATTAAATTATTTTAAATTAAAATCAATTTAATAAAATATATGAATTTTAGATACTAAAGTTATTATATCCAGCTATATTAGACACATATTTTAAAATCTAAGGAGTGAATGACCTATTTATAATAATATATTAGTTAAACATTTAAATTATAACTTAAAAAACAATCTATTATAATAAAATAATGGTAAAAAACATGAGATGCATTTTAGCCTTTTATAATAACACGGATACCGCACTTTATATGTTGGTAAATACACATAAATGAATGCTACTGAGCGTTAGACACAAGTGGTTGAGATTTAGGAATTTAAATTTGTAAGGTCAAGTTCGAATCATACTACCGTCACTTTAATAGACAATCTATAAAGTCCTATGTAAATCTTAATTGGATCTTAGGTATGTTCTGACCCTGAATTTGAGGAATCAACCCTGACCTAAATTTTCGTGTACAAAAAAAAATACATATAAATGAATGATTATTTTCTTAAGTAGAACATTGCCTCTTTAACAAAAATGACCTTCTAAAAAGCAGTGTTTGAGTTATTCTATTTTTAAAATATAATATAAAAACTTGAAAGAAAGATATACCCTCTCAACATTATTTATTAATGTCTTAAAAAGTAATTGTAAATGGAATTTCACCTGAACTGTTGTCACTTAACAAAGTATATATATACACACAATTCAATGATAATATTCCATTTGACATTGCAAAATGCAAACTGTACGCAACTATTTACATTACCTAATGAGCTTCGAGAAGGGAATTATAATTATAAATGGTCTATGGCATCACCAAATAAATTTATTTACCCCAACTCTATCGAGGAATTGTTTAAAATTTTGCCCATCTCTTTGCCTTTCCCCTTAGCTTTTGCATCATTCCTTCGGCAGTATAATTTTCTATTTGCTGGTAACTGATACGGCTATTATACCCTTTACTTTTGAGATTATATAAAAAATATAATGACCTAATCTTGCTTTATATATTTATTTACTTAATCTATTAGTGAGTGTATATGCTCTCACCCTCTAATACGTGTATATTACGCGACTTCGGTACGATTCGACGGATTCTTCTGTTCATTGCTCAACTGGGTCGCACACTTTCTGCTTCATTTTATATCATATTACATCATTAAATTTCGAATGTACAAGTAAACTACATATAATTTTAAAAGATTCCATCAACTTTTTAATTAAAAATAGTAACTAAGAAGCAAGAACACAAATATAAAAAATAATAGGGTTAATTATTTATTTGGTATTCTATCTATTTTCATATTTTTATTTTAATCATTCAATTATTCCTTTGAAAAAAAAATTATACCTCAGGTTCATCCCAAGAAATCGGTAGGCCTTGTGTTTTCTTTTTAGAAATAGGTCATGTGTTACTTTTAAAAATGAAAGCCCTAAAATATTTTATAATAAAAATTAATTTGTCAAATTTGAATTATAAGGGTTATATGAGGTCTTTATACCAAAATTCACCATAAAAAACGATTAAAGATACTGTCAAAATTTTCATTTGCAATTTTATCTCACTTTTCTGAGAATCAAACGGAAATTTTTTTTACCTATTAAACGAAAGTGTCGTTAGGGCACAAAAGTTGTACATGTAGGAACTGACGTAATTTTTTATATGCTAGGGGTGGACCTCAAATTTTAGAAGGGGGCAAAATTATAAAATTCCAAGGGGACGAAAACAATTTTTTCAATAAAAAATACATAGAAAAAATATAATGTATGGTAATTTTCAAATTATAGAGGATGACTACCCCACCCGCTACCTTCAATCCATCCCATCCCCATTTACATGAACGAACCTGAATAATATTCATGCATGTCATCCCCAAATTAAAAGACCCTATGATGTGTCACAAAATAAACATGCAAATGGACAGACATGTGCCTAACGTTATGTTTTTTACATTTAACTTTCGACTTAACAGAAATGATGATGCGATACAGTATAATAGTTTTAATCTTTAAATTTTTGCATTCAATTTAATCTTAATTAAAAAATAATTTAATAAATTATTATTATTTAAAAGTTTTATTAATATAGAATTTAATTTAGTTTAAAATAATTCATTATTTAACCCTTTAAGATAAATGAAGAGGTAAAATAAATCCTCCATTAAAATTCAAACGTGAAATATTACCCCGAACAACTGAGCTAACCAATGCATGCCTTCTTTTTCCCTGAGGTAGGCAAAGATTTAGTGGCGGATCTATGCTAAGTTTAGGATACACACATGGCTATCTTAAATTTAATTTTTTTTCCGATTAATTATTTATTTTGTTAATTGTATACATTTTTAAATTTTATTTGTATTTACACTATATAAAAATTATGTTGCTAATATATATATATATATATTACTTTAAAGTGAGTATAATATATATATATATATATATATATACTTTAAAAAATATTTTTAGATCCGTCACTAAAAACCTTTCTCAATATGCATGAAAAGAATATTGCTATAGTATTTCAAATACACGTACACATGCATAGTGTGAGATTTGTTTTACCAAATCATGGATCGGGGGATGGGTGGGTCTGTTCCGTTTAGGACATGGTGCAATTGGGTATGCTTAAAGAGGGACACACACACACATAAACAAAGGTTTGGAAGCCAAGCAATTGAGGACCACCGCAGAGTAACAGGTATACCCAACTAAATCAATATATTCTACAAATAAAATAAATCATTCTATCGCTAACCATTATTATTATTTTTAAAGGTTCTACAGAAAGATTAATGTTATGAACTTCGCTTTGAAGGTACTATTTCAGAATAATAAATATAATTCCTAATATGTTTTAATCACGGAACATATTTCCTGTTGTAATTCATTAATTAGATAAGTTTATTATAGCCCTGATAATTAGAAAGGATAAATGTTACTTCATCCTGTTTTTATTATGTAACACTTAAGACACAAAGTATACAATTATTTTTTTTAAAAAAAGGTTGAATCTTCTTTTTCTCTGAAAAATCTCTCTTTCGATAGAGCGTTCTCTTGTAACGATCTATGTTTATAATCGTCTCTTAAACATAATTCTTTATCTATATTAGAAGAGGTAAATCACAATCAAACGACTAATTTATTATCGTCTTTGTTTAATTATGTAGCCTTAAACGATTACCTTACACGTTTAACATCAACGATTGATAATTGCTTCAAGTTATTATTGTAAGTTTATATGAGATTTGGGGTTGATAAAAAGATATTAAGAACTAATATTGTTCGAATTAAGAAGCTGAAATAAATGTGATGAAGAGTTTTCATTTTTGTCGTAAAGACAGAGACAAAAGCGGCGTATTTATTCGGAGTTGGGTTATGTTTCAAAGTTGATGGTAACTAATGAATGTGAAAGATTTTGACAACATGGGTCGCTCTTTTGGTCTTTGCCAAGCTGGCTTGCCTCTCACTGAGTGACTCAGTGTGGACAACCTTATCTGTACTATTTCTTTTTATAAATATAGTTCATGTGATGCCATGTGGGTTTTCTTGATTTTTCACCTAGTAGATGTATACACACAATAATTATAATTAACATTAATATCAATGATTAACAGATACTAGATTAAAGTCGATACGAATTATCTGATGTGATACCAACCTTATATAAATATTTGTTCCTTATTTCTTTTAATCAATAACAATAACATATTAACTTATAGATTTATTATATATCAAATATTCATATTTCAGAACTCTAATTAGATTTTAGATTTTGCACCTAACTTTTTAAGGGGAGATAAATGAATTAAAACTGTAGATATAGAATTTAAGGAATAATTTTAGTTATAAAAAATATCATGTTTCTTTTAAATGATCTTAATTTGTGCAATTTTATCTGTAAAGTATACGTGCTAACCAAATTAAAACATGGCAAATATTACTATTAGTCACATAAGAATATTAAAAGAGATGTGTGTGTATAGAAAATATTGGATAATTCATTTAACGACTTCAATGGTAAAAGAGATTGTTGTTCTTCTTACTTTTTTAGAGATTTTGAATTCAACCAATTCCGCCTATAAGATGTGTGTATTGTAACATCCCAAAAGTCGGGTCAGTGACCAAAATAGAATTTTGGTAAATTTAGTGACCAATCTTAGAAAAGATTGAATAGTTCGATGACTTATTGGAAAATTTTTATGTTGGATTTAATAGAAAAGTTTGAAAATAATAAGGGTATTATGGTCATTTCACAGGGAAGATTTTTATTTCCCTTTATAAAGGGTAATAAGCAAGTGGGAAAGGGGAGAATTTCTCCAGAGTCTTCTTCAGTTTCTTCATCTTCTCCCAGCCGTGAACTCTAACTTGTAAAGGTAAGAATTCTTAGTAGTTAATTATTAGCTGAAATTTAAGTTGGGTTTTGATCATTGAGTGATACTTAAGCTTAAGAAAAGCTTAAGTTGTCTT